CCATTTCGGATACCAGTCTCAAGCTCAGGATCTTATCTGTGCTTCTGACCGAATGGCCATCAATCAGACCTCTTCCTTGTGTTCAGTGGATTTGCTAGAGAAGCTCACAGAATTCAAGGAACCCATTTACTCACCAGGGTACCATTTTATTATAAAAAGGTGTGACTGAGGAAGAGCCAGAAGGAAGAAATGCAAAGGGCAAGGGGCGCAAAGAATCCATGCTCTCGGGGGGGCCCTGTTCTTCTTGAATCTTCACATGTTCACCAACTGGGAAGCTCTCCAAGCCTTGTTCTTCTGGGTTTTTATGGAGGCTTCATTCCATAGGCATGATTGATTAAATCATTGTCCGCTGGTGATTGAACTCCAGCTCCTCTCCCCTCCCCAGAGGTCAGGGGGTGTGACAGAAAGTTCCAACCATCTAATCACCTGGTTGGCTCCACTGGTAGCCCAGCCCCATCTTTAAAAATCCTTCATGGCACAAAGACAGACACAAAGAACAATCGAACAGAATAGAGAACCCAGAAATGGACCCACAGGCGTATGGCCAATGAATCTTTGACAAAACAGGAAAGAATATCCAATGGAATAAAGACAGTCTCTTCAGCAAATGGTGATGGGAAAACTGGAGAGGGACATCTAGAAGAATGAACCTGGACCACTTTCTTACACCGTACACAAAAATAAACTCAAAATGGATGAAAGACCTCAATATAAGACAGGAAGCCATCAAAATCCTCGAGAAGAAAGCAGGCAAAAACCTCTTTGATCTTGCCCGCAGCAAATTCTTACTCAACACGTCCCAGAGTAAAAGGAAACAAAAGCAAAAATGAGCAAGTGGGACCTCATCAAGATAAAAAGCTTCTGCACAGCAAAGGGAACAATAAGCAAAACTAAAAGGCAACTGACGGAATGGGAGAAGATATATGCAAGTATCAGATAAAGGGTTAAGTATCCAAAATCTATAAAGAACTTATCAAACTCAATACCCAAAAAACAAATAATCCAGTGAAGAAATGGGCAAAAGACATGAATAGACACTTCTGGAAAGAAGACATCCAGATGGCCAACCGACACATGAAAAAATGCTCAACATGACTCATCATCAGGGAAATACACATCAAAACCACAATGAGATACCACCTTACACCTGTCAGAATGGCTAACATTAACAACTCAGGCAACCACAGATGTTGACGAGGATGCGGACAAAGAGGATCTCTTTTGCATTGCTGGTGCAAATACAAGCTGGTGCGGCCACTCTGGAAAACAGTATGGAGGTTCCTCAAAAAATTAAAAATAGAACTACCCTACGACCCAGCCATTGCACTAGTAGCTATTTATCCAAGGGATACAGGTGTGCTGTTCCGAAGGGACACATGCACGCCGATGTTTACAGCAGCACTGTCGACAACAGCCAAAGTATGCAAAGAGCCCAAATGTCCATCTCTGGATGAATGGATAAAGATGTGATATATATATAATGGAGTATCACTCAGGAATCAAAAGGAATGAAATCTTGCCATTTGCAACTACATGGATGGAACTAGAGGATATTATGCTAAGCGAAATTAGTCAGAGAAAGACAAATATCATATGACTTCATTCATATAAGGACTTTAAGACACAACAGATGAACATAAGGGAAGGGAAGCAAAAATAATTTAAAAACAGGGAGGGGGACAAAACAGAAGAGACTCTTAAATATGGAGAACAAACTGAGGGTTGCTGGAGAGGTTGTGGGAGGGGGGATGGGCTAAATGGGTAAGGGGCACTAAGGAATCTCCTCCTGAAATCATTGTGGCACTATATGTTAACTAATTTGGATATAAATTTTAAAAATAAAATTAAAAAAATAATAAATTAAAAAAATAGTAAAAGTGGAAAAAAATAAAATAAAAATAAAATAAAAATCCTTCAATGAGTTCCACAAGTCACCTTATTAACCCACCAGAAGACACCCCTAGAGCTCTCACCACTTAGGACATTCCAAAGGTTTCAAGGGCTCTGCCAGCAACAGGGACAAAGACCAGCTACGCATTAATTATAAGTCACAGTATCACAACGGGTTTATCATTCACATGACCACAGTGACCCAAGTGACCCCTTTTTCATTTCCAACCCTGAAGAGGGTCGCCTGACCCACAGTCAGAATTTTTTTTTTGGAGGTCCTCCCCTTCATTACAGGGCATTACTACTACGTTTTACCGGGACTGCCAAAATCACCCACGAAGCACTAGAAGGCACTAACATGGTTACTAGACGTGCAGGAGATCCCCCCAACCCGTGCCCAGACACCCAGATACTTCAACTCAAGCCCTTCCACTCCTGCTACACTGGAAGGGTCTCCCCTCCGACAAATTTCCTTCAACAGAAAAGGTTTCCGGCTCCTTCTCCAGTAATCCCTGGTCTAACTTTGCCCATTATGATAATACAAAGGTAAACCTTTCTCGGGAGTTTTGGAAACTCGGGGTTCCTGGTGGCTCGCTCTCTGGACAGCTGTTCTCTCAGCACCAGGTCCTAAAACTAGCGTTCTCTCAGCTAAGGTCCCCATCTGCTGCCCACCCTCTTACACACAGCTCCCCTGTGACCTTGAGCCTGTCCCCACCATGCCCCTGCCCCTTACCTAACCTCCAGGACTGCCAGTCACTTAAGCACCTACCCTAGGATTTCCTAGGAAATAGGCAGCTCCCCAGGGCTTGTCCCACCTCCCAGAGATCATCGCCCCTATACCACTCTAGTGCTCCACAGAGACAATAAAAATGCACAGTTCGTTTTGGCCCTATTAGGCACCAGGGTCCAAGTCGATGCCATTCCAGGAAATCCCTCTAAATTCCCCCAAAGGGAAGTCCTACCTACAAGGCATTGCCAGGAAAACAATCAAAGGTGCACAAACCCAATCAGATGTAACTATTAGGACCATTGGCCTCAAACAGCTTCCTCTGGTGGTGGCCCCTGTCTCCTCCTTTCCAGACATGGATAAACTGACACCTTCATGGCACACGGACCAAGCCCAAGCTCTTGACCTTCCTTGTGGGACTCACCAAATAGATGCCATGGATTCTTCCTCACCAGGCGAGGACAGAAAACATTCCCGAATACGGAATTACACAAGCAATGAAAGCCAAGGCCCTGTCCTTAAAGATGTGATGACAGGAGGACTGCCTGGCTGGCTCAGTTGGTAAAGCATGCAACTCTTGGTTCAGGGTGGTGAGTTCAATGGATTTGCTAGAGCTAATTGGGTATGGAGCTTAATTAAAAAAAAAAAAAAAAAAAAGAGTCATGAAGCCCACAATCTCCCCTTTTAACAGCCCCGTTTGGCCAGTATTAAGCCAGTCACTAATGCTGGCACCTGACCATCGACTCAGGTTCCCCTGATTAAGGCTCTGAGTCCTAAGGACATAGAACGGACCCAAGGAGCATCACTGACATTGCTAATATGTTCTGTCTGTTCCCATCGCCAAGGAATCCCAGGCCCAATCTGGTTTCACTTTGGAAGGAACTACTTTTATGCAGTTCCCAATGGGGTATTTAAACTCTTCCAATTATGTGTGACCTCTGCCACCAAGATGTAAATACCTTATAGTAAGAGGTACGGTTTGGGCCATTCCAATGATGACAGTCTGCTGAGGGGTCCCTCCGGGGAAGCGGTACGGCCAGATCTGCACAGCTTCACGGGCCACTTATGCCACACAGGATCCAAGGCCCCACGTCATCTGCCACATTTCTGGCATCATCTGGTCCCCTGGGGGCTGGTAAATTCCCCCGGCCATCACACACGAATTACTCACCATCAAACCACCCACTAGACTCAAACAGGCACAAAATCTATTGAGCCGTTTCATGTTCTAGAAGAAACATCCTTCATCCCTCAAGCCCTCCGTACACAACCACACGCGTGTCTGTCACCCTCTGCCAGAGCCAGACCCCACAGTGCCCTTGGGAAGCCACCGGCACGCAGGCCAGCATGCCTCCCCTGTAGTCCCCCCCGCTTCGTGTTGGGACTCAAGTCCTCGGCCACGCCTGACCATGCCTCCTGGAGTCTCTGGAGCAAACGCGACCTACCTGACTTCACGCGGGGTTTTGGCCTAAGCGCCTTCCCTCAGGGGCAGCCCAATAAATGCCCCTTGAGCGCCTGCTTCTGGAATCCTACCAAGCTCTTTTAGAAACCAAGGCCCTACCCAGCCCCCATCCAGAAGGACTCCGCAAACAAGCGCCTGGACTGCCCGAGGTAGAGACGTGCCTAGAGAACATGGCAGAGCCACCGATGCCTGCTCGGGGAAACGGGACCTCAGGAGAGGACTAAGGCTGCCATCAAAGGCTGTTCCCTTGCCCGAGAGCCTTGAGGAAGTGCTGGTAACACCCTGCTTCCTCCTCCTCCTCCGGGTACCTGGGGACCCAACGGCCTGCATGGACGGGGAGTGCATTCTTCACCGATGGCACCCCACCCTCGCACTCGAGCAGCTGGCCGGGAGCCTCAGGCGCCTTGCTGGCTGAGGAGGGGGCTCTGACCCAGCCCCCTGGAGGAACCTGTAGCTGTGGCCTTGCCCTTGAGGAGCCGGCAAGATGGGGCCTTCCGCAGGCCCACGCCTTCACAGACTCCTGGGCTTTTGCTAGCATATAGCAGGTCACCGAGGCTGGGCGGCAAAGGGACCGACCTCTTTTCAGGCAATGGCCCCCGCAAGAAATGTCTAAATGACACTTGCCCCCCAGTTTCTGTACATCAAATGTTGCTACAAGCTACTGGCCAAATTTGTGTGTCAGAGACCTTGCTGATGGCCCCAGATGTTAAGAAATTCCACAACATTACCTAAATCTTTGAAGAGACTCCTGGGGATCCTGAGCTCACCGACCTATTTTCATGGCTGGACTCTAGGTCTGGGACAGCGGCCATGGACTAGATTGGCTTGAGCTTCCGACGGCAAGACATCCACATGAGAGACGGCGATCTCCAAAGCACACACCGCCAGTCTGTAGATACGGGCCCCAGCTGCCCCTCACCCCTCCCACCTCTGGTTTCCTTTATTTTAGAGAGTTCTGGTTGACTTGGATAATGGACTCTTCGACCTCTTTTTCCCTTCCTGGGCTTTCATTCGCGCAGTTACATTTTATTTATTTATTTTTAATTTATTCTAATTTTTTTTTTTTTTATTTTAGAGAGAGTAAGCAGGGAGACGAGTAGAGGGAGAGAGAATCTTTTTTTATTTAATTTTTATTTTTTCCTTTTTCTTGAGACAGCCTGGGGGGGGTGCAGAGAGAGTGGGAGGGAGAGAATCCCCAGCAGGCTCTGGGGCACTGTCAGGGCAGAGGTTGTCATGGCACCTTGAACTCATCATCTGGGAGATCATGACCTGAGCCGAAACCAAGAGTCCAATGCTTAACTGACTGGGCCACCCAGGCGCCCCAAGTCCGAGAATCTTAAGCAGGCTCCACTTGGCACAGAGCCCAACCTGGTGCTGGATCCCAGAACCCTGGGATCATGACCTGAGCCCAAATCAAGAGTCACTCAACCAACCGAGCCACTCAGGCGCACCCCCTGCAGTTATGTTTTCAACCCACCAATAAAGAGTGAACCTTGAAACGCCAGGCCCTTGTATCACTTCCCACTGGAGGGACCTGCCTGCTGCTGGGTTGAGCTCCCCGGGAGGAGAAGCCTGGTCCACAGAGGAACGACTCCTGCCATCTGAGCCCACAGTCTAGCTGGGGACAGTGACGCGACAGTCCAGCGGAGTACAAGTGCCCTAACAGCAGGGCATCCTAGGTGCCCAGGGGGAGGGAGGACTGAGAAGGGGTGGGGGAGTGGGTACATCTAAGTCTGGCTGAGGCTACAAATCTGAGGTGCCCAGAGCGCCAGATTGTGGGAGCAACTTGGCCTGCTGGTCATCGTCCTCGATTTCTTAACATTTCTTTCTTTTTGAGAGAGAGACAGAGACAGAGCACAAGCAGGGGAGGGCCAGAGAGAGAGACACACACACCCAGAATCCAAAGCAGGCTCCAGGCTCTGAGCTGTCAGCAGAGAGCCTGACACGGGGCTCGAACTCCCAAACCGTGAGATCATGACCTGAGCCGAAGTCAGATGCTTAACTGAATGAGCCACCCAAGTGCCCCTCATCACCCTTGATTTCTTTTCATTGTACATACCCAGCGATGCTCCCGGTAATGGTCCCTCTGTTCTGTCCCAGGGCTGCCGGCCTGAAGAAACGGTCTCCCTATCTTTGCAGGGCAGGACGCTGGAGGCCACTCGTTAGAGTAACTGCGTCCACCTGGCCCAGGCCCTCGGGGTCCCAACACGCGGCCATCGGCAGCTCAGTTCCGTAGTAGTGCCTCCTACCCCCGTCCTGGCCTGGCGCGGGGAGCCCAAGTGAACTTCTGAGCCCTGCTGGGGCCACTCTCCAGCACATTCTCTACCGCTTCAGGAGGTGGGCACGTCTCCCGAGGCTTCCCGTGGACCAGTCATCCCCTGGGAGTTCTACCCTATGCAGCACGCTCCATCTATCACGTCTACTGCCACCCCTCACAACCCTCCCCTGCGACGACAACTCTGGCATTTCCTCCTCATTGGCCGTGGCCCAGGGATGCCTTCCGTGCTCCCGGGAGCCATTCTAGCAGCACGTGGGCACCGTTCGCTGGGGGCCTGGCCAGGGGCTTGCACCTTTGACCTGGAACAATGCTCCCAAATCAACAAAATCTCTCCCCGTGCTGGTGTGAGGTTCTGGTCCTCCTGACCCAGCACTCCTGGCGTCCAGGCACCATCTTGCTCACACGGGCCCAAAGGGCCCTTGGGGCACAGCGTCCTTCATCTCTTAGCAGGCCTGGCGCAGCATCGCGGCCAGAAGGGGAGGTGGGGCCGACGCTGGGGGTGCCTGCTGTCCTGCAGGACCCTGACCTCGTGGGCGAGCTGCATTCGCCTAGGTCAGCCTTGGAAGCTGCTGCTCCACGACGCGGTCCCGGACCCAGTCCTCAGCTTTCTCTGCTGTGAGAACACAGGCAGGGAGCACCTCTTCCCGTGCTCCCAACAGGGCAACGCTGGCTCTCCCGGGGAGCTTTGAATTGCCCGTGAATCAGCCTCAGCCTTTTGGTTTCTCTTCCCCCAAACCTTAACTGTGCTTAGCAACAGCCACGCCATTTCACTGCCCTGATGGTTTCTCCCTCCCTCCATGTTTATCAAACTCCTGATACATGGAACCCACTGGTGAACTCTCGTCCACCAGAACACTGCTCCGTTCATCGGTGGACACTTTAACAGCTTGTTACCTTGTGCCAGGGACACAGGCCAGGAGTCCCCGCTGCCAGCCAGCAGCCCTAGGTCCAGCTCCAGAACCCCATCCTGGCATCTGCTTCCTGGGGCCCACCCTAGATGGAGACCAGCGGGAGAAAAGTTTATCAGAGGGACCTCCCTACCTGGATCAGGAAGGACCGGCCGCAGAGTCAGGCAGAGAAAGAATGGGCACTTCCCTCCTTACCCCCATTTCAGGTGAAGAGATTGGGCGTTTACAAACCCCCTGACCAATCAGGGCTGTGGCTGCCCAGAAAGGAGGCGTGGCCTTCTTCTCAATCGTTCTCTTCAGCTGAGGAAATTCCCAGAGAGGACTGACAGCTGAGGTTGCCAGCGGCTGGGCCGTAAACAGCCCCAGGATCCACTAGGCTGTGGGTACAGACGCTGGCTGATGGGTGACCCGTGAGTAGTGACTCACGGTGAGTAGTGACATGGGTGACTGTGACATCCTGCAGTTCTGAAGGGCGAACATTCTCGTCGGATCCATTCAGATGTTTCAGATAGGTAGGAAGAAGCAAGTTCACCTGTGGACAGAGAGAAAGTGGGAAGCATGCGTTGTGTCAAACACGGTTCAGCTCAGAACAAGAAGAGGGGGCAGCTGTCCTACAGAGGGTCTCTTAGCAAAGTGGGACAGACTCCCAGATAAACAGTGGAACTTCTTGATTAACTGTACTTAACTAATTGCAAAAATTCGTATTTGGAACAACTTGGATATAAATCAAACTTTGATTTATAAATCAAACCCGTTCAGCTGTAATTTTTAGGAAACTTAAAGGCAGATCAAGGATCCCTGATGAAAATGTAGCATCTTACGTGACATGTGCTGGAAGTGCAAGTTACACACTGGACTTCAAAGACTTAGTATGAGAAAAAGAATGTAAAATATACCATTAGGGGCACCTGGGTGGCTCAGTCGGTTGCATATCTGACTCCTGATTTAGGCTCAGGTCATGATCCCAGGGTTGTGAGATTGAGCCCCATGTTGGGCTCTGCACTAAGCATGGAGCCTGCTTAAGATTCTCTCTCTCTCTCTCTCTCTCTCTCTCTCTCTCTCTCTCTCTCTCCCCCTTTGCCTCTCAATCCCCTCTAAAATAAAATGAAATTAAATGAAATATAAAATAAAATATAAAATAAAACATTGATTACATGTCAAAATGATACGTGGATATACTGGGTTAAATAAAATGCTTTAATAAAATTAAATCAGCTATTTCTTCTAACTTTTTTAGTAAGGCTACCAGATAATACAAAATCACTTATCGCTTACCTTCTATTTTTGCACAGCACAGAGTTAGAAGGAAGTCAGGAGAGGGCACAGCCATGCGCTTCTCACATTGGCCACTAGGTGACAATCTTAACCCAGGACTGCGATTTTCAGACTCAAGGAGGCAGCCTCCCACAAGATCAATCTTGAAGGAAATCTGGAGAGAAACATGGAGATAAGGAGACAAGTGGGAGAAAGACCTGGGAGGGGAAAGGACGCTCTGAACCACCGGTGGTGTGTGGCCAGCGCTGTGACCAATGGCAGGAGGCTCAACTGTGGGAGAATAAAGCAGAAGTGAATGGTTAGAATTCTGTCTGGGGCAATGGGTGCCCGCCCCCCGCCCACCTATGACAGCTGGTGCAGATGTCCTCAGGGATAAATGGGTCGTGCGGAAACTCTGCAGGTGAGGAGCCGAGGAGGACAGAAAGACCACCTCCGTGGCCCCACCACCCCTCCAACCCCCTCTGGGTTCTGCTTCTTCCTGGGGACTGAGCACCAAATGCAGCTCAGAACAGTCTCCCGGTGGGAAGGGCAGTGCTGAGCTGTAGCTGCATTCCTGAGGCTCATCCACGGCTTCTGGGTCCTGAGCTCAGGGGACTGGCACCCAGCAGGCACGCTGGCCTCTCTCCGTGTGTGTCACAGGACCCAGGACTCTGTGCCCCGTGGGAATATGTGCTCTTGGTCCAAAATAAGGAGAATTCTGAGGACCTCAGCTCCTTCAAAAGAAATCCACAAATGGGAATTACAGGTTCCATTGGAAACAGATGGGGGGGGCGGGGAATGGACTGAGACAAAATAGGTTAAAAACCATACCAAGCAAGATGAGATCATTTACTAGCAATATCACATAAGAACAAGAAACTTGAAAAAGAAGGACCAACTAGAAATACTAGGCATGAAAACCACCGTGACTGAAGTAAAGAACATAATAGAAGGATTAATAGTAGAACTAATGCAGTTGAGAAATTGATGGGTTAGAAGGTAGGTTAAGAAACTCTCTCGGAGGGGCACCTGGGTGGCTCAGTCAGTTGAGCAACCAACTCCTGATTTCAGCTCAGGACATGATCTCGGGATTTGTGGGATTAAGACCTGTGTTGGGCTCCACGCTGACAGCACAGAGCCTGCTTAGGATTCTCTCTCTCCCTCTGTCTGTCCCTCCCCCTCTCCCAAAAATAAATAAACATTAAAAAATTCATCAAACTATACACAACTTGTGCTTTTTCTTGTATTATGTCATTCTTTCATAAAAAGCTCACTAGAGCAGAAGAGAACACATTGCTACACAGCTCATGAGTTGAAGAAATCACAGTGGAGATAAAAAATACTTAGAACTGTATACTACATATCAAACTTTATGGGCTGCAATGACAGCTATGCTTGGAAGGAAGTTTAAATCCTGAAATATGTATAATAGAAAAGAGGAAATGCAGGGGCACCTGGGTGGCGCAGTCGGTTAAGCGTCCGACTTCAGCCAGGTCACGATCTCGCGGTCCGTGAGTTCGAGCCCCGCGTCGGGCTCTGGGCTGATGGCTCAGAGCCTGGAGCCTGTTTCCGATTCTGTGTCTCCCTCTCTCTCTGCACCTCCCCCGTTCATGCTCTGTCTCTCTCTGTCCCAAAAATAAATAAACGTTGAAAAAAAAATTTTTAAGAAAAGAGGAAATGCAGAAAATTAATGAGCCAAACAGCCATGTTAGAAAATCACAACACAATGAAATTAGGAGGCTAGTGTTACTCTGATACCAAAGCCAGATAAAACATTACAAAAAAAGAAACTTGTAGACCAGCATCTCTGATGAGTATAGAAGTGAAAGCCCTCCATAAAATACAAACAAACCAAATCCAAAGGCATGCTAAAAAGATTATACACCATGGCCAAGTGGGATTTATCCCAAGCACACAAAGGTGGTTGGACCTAAGAGATGGAACAGTGGAATGCACCACGTTAACGGAATGAAGAAAAACCCATATGATGATCTCAAATGGTGCAGGAAAAAAACCCAAAAAACATAAAGCCTTTGACAAAATTCAACATCCTTCCATGATAAAAAGCACAAAGAAAACTAAAAATACAAAAGAACTCACTCAATGATACAGGGCATTTATGAAAAACACACGGGTAACATTGTATCCAACGGTGAAGGTTTGAAAGCCTTCCCTCTAAGATCAGGAAGAAGACAAAGAGGCCTGCTTTCACCACTGCTGACCCATATTATACCGGAAAGTATGGCCAGAACAATTTAGACAAGGAAAAAAAAAAGTCATGGAAATTGGAAAGGAAAAAGTACAACTATATCTATTTGCACATGACTTGATCCTACATACAGAAAATCCCAGGGGCACCTGACTGGTTCAGTCAGTACAGCATGTAACTCTTGATCTCAGGGTTTTGAGTTCAAGCCCCACATTGGGTGTGGAGCCTATTTAAAATTAAAAAAAAAAAAAAATTAGGGGCGCCTGGGTTGCTCAGTCGGTTAAGTGCTGGACTCTTGGTTTCAGCTCATATCAGGATCTCACGGTTGTGAGATCAAGCCCAGGGTCGGGCTCTGCACTGACAGCACAGAGCCTGCTTGGGTTTCTCCCTCTCCCTCTCCCTCTCTCTCTGCCCCTCCCCTGCTGATGCTCTGTCTCTCTCCCTCTCAAAATAAATAAATAAACATTAAAAAGGTTTTTTTCATTAGAAAATCCCAAAGAATGGACAAGCGAGTGATTCAAGTAATAACTTCAGAGAAATTTCAAGGTACAAGAACAACATGCAAACATCAGCTGAGGTTGTATATACCTACACCTGTAATAGACATTCTCAAAAGGAAATTAAGAAAGCTATCTCATTAACAATAGCATCAAATTAGTGAAATATTACACATTCAAAGCAATGTCCTAGCAAGATAGGATAAGGGCTTATAATTAACAAAATTTTTTTAATGTTTATTCATTTTTTGAGAGACAGCATGAGCGGGGGAGGGGCAGAGAGCGATGGAGACACAGAATCCGCAGCAGGCTCCAGGCTCTGAGCCATCAGCACAGAGTCGAAGGCGGGGCTTGAGCCACAAACCGTGAGATCATGACCTGAGCCGAAGTCAGACGCTTAACGGCCTGAGCCACCCAGGTGCCCCAAGGGCTTATGATTTTAAAAAAGGGTGAGGATGGGGAGAAATTGGAACCCTCACACATCACTGGTGGCAAAGCAAAATGCGGCGGCTGCTGTGGAAAACGGGCCAGCGTAGCTGGTGTCCACATGCGGAGAGCCGCAGAAGAAAACCCTCACCTGGAGGACAGGTGGGCAGAGAGCAGGAGGCCAGATTGTCTCCAGGTTGGAGGGACCGTGGGAGGGTGGCCCCTGGGAGGAACCAGGGCTGTGAGATCGCTGAGGGACCACCTGTGTTTCGGAGGGGCTGGGGCGGAGCCCCATGAACACCCTCACACCTGCCATACTGACCAATCCTCTAACCGCAGGAACCTTCCTCCTGCCGTGTCCCTCCAGAAACTTCTATGAGCAGATGTGACATTGTGTTCATTGTGCAAAAGAAATGCTTTCAGGAATTCCATCCATTATGGCAGAGTGGGTGTGTAAGTGTGAATTTGGAGCTGAGAGGCAATAAATTGATAGTTTTGGACACACACTGCCCTGGCCGCGCACGATCTCAGCGTTAATTCCATGAGCCTTTCCTAGAAACCTACCAGAGAATGAACTTCCCTCATCAAACTGGCTACAGAGGCACGGCCATGAAGACCAGCGGTGAGCCCCAAATTCCCAATCACTCAAGGGCTGAGAGGTCCAACAACTATTTAAAACTGGGGACAGTAGGGGCACCTAGGTGGCTTAGACAGTTGAGCGTCTGAGTTCGGCTGAGGTCATGATCTCACAGTTTGCGAGTTCGAGCCCCGCGTCGGGCTCTGGGCTGACAGCTCAGAGCCTGGAGCCTGCTTCTGATTCTGTGTCTCCCCCTCCCTCTGCCCCTCCCCTGCTTGTGCTCTGTCTCTCTCATAAAAATAAATAAACATTAATTTTTTTTAATCGAGGACAGCAAAATACAATTTAACTGTTTTCACTCATTATATTGGTGAAGACAGTATTGTTCTCCCGCAGCTGATGTGTGTGATATGAGATGAAGCAGACATAAATTTAGAATACTCTAGTTCCATCAGCCCCCGTGTCCTTGAGAGTGAAGCTTCTCATTCTCACATGCCGATGTAGTCTATGTACAGTGAAGTAAAAACACCTTTGGTCTGTGATTTGAAATACCAGTAGGAACTCATGAGGTACTTCATCTTTCAAATTATTTACCTTCAAATACTTCCTTGCTCGGTCCACTGGAAAGGCCTAGAAACAATCTGATAACCATGAGCATCCCCCACACCCAGACTGTGGTCTTGAAATTCCTTTCCCAACTAAAAGAAACCAGGGATTTTTGGTCAGAGTGCTAATTCCGGGCCTGAGGTGTCTTGTCACATTGGACAGCAAGGAAGCTATGACACCCCTACCTGGACCATGTCACAACGCCTCTGAGCCAATGGGAGAAGCTCCCACTGGTTGAGGGGACACAACCTGAGCTTCAATAAGGACATAATTATGATGTATCAAAACCCTCATATACGTTTAAATCCACAGGAATGACATAATTCTAATATGCAAAAACATAATGAACTTGGGGCACCTGCATGGCTCAGTCGGTTAAGGGTCCGACTCTTCCTCTCAGCTAAGGACTTGATCTCAGGGTTGTGAGTTCAAGCCCCACACTGGGCTCTGTGCTGGGTGTGGAGCCTACTTTTAAAAAATTGGGTTGACTGGGTGGCTCAGTCCGTGAAGTGATCAACTACGGATCAAGTCATGATCTCACAGTTTGTAGGTTCAAGCCCCTCATCAGGCTCTGTGCTGACAGCTCAGAGCCTGGAGCCTGCTTCAGATTCTGTGTCTTCCTCTCTCTCTCTCTCTCTGCCCCTCCCCGCTTCCCCTCAAAAATAAACATAAAAAAAAAAAACGCATAATGAACTGGGTTGCCTTTGGAGGATGATAGAGAACAAATTCATTATCCTGAAAATCAGTGAAAGAAAAAACGTGAAAAAAACTTCGTGAAGGAAAAGGAGGTAAACTTTCCCCTCCATGTGCTAAACCAACAGCACCACTGGGTAACTGACAGACGGGGTGTCTCTATGGAAGTATTCTAGATAATATATGAGAAATGAGTGTTCAAATTAAGTTGCCTCCAGCGTGCAAGCCCTGGAAGAACCAACGGACCCAGGCAGTGTCAGAGTCAGCTCACCTCACCGAAAGAGAGCCAGCCAGCCCTGAGGGCTCCTGACCAAGGAAGCGGCCCCCACCTACAGCCTGGCCAAGGGGGCGCCCCTGAGTCTGATCCGGCCTCTAGATTTAACTGGGGAACCCAGAAATACAGAGGACCAGGAGGGGGCCGCCAGGGCACAGGGGACAAGCGCTGGTGCCTGTTGGAGATTTCCCGACCTGCACAGGTTAGTGTGTATCCAGCCTGTGCGGCAGACCCCAGGCAGGGAAGGGCAAAGGGCAGGGGGGCGCAGGGGGCCAGAGGCAGGCGAAGGTGCCTGGAGCACAGGGTTGACGGCTACGGACTGCAGAGCCTGGCGGAGGACCGCACCCTTCCAGAAAGCTCCTTGGGTAAAGCTGGCTCCAGCAGATAGAAACTCAGTTCTACCTCGAGTGGAGTCCTGAGACAGGGAGGATGGAAAATAGAGCTAGAGCTTTCTAACAAAGCAGGATTAACTGGGAAAGACGCTGGTAACGCCGGCCCTGGGTCACAGTGATACTGCAGCCCCGCGTCTCCCAGGCCACACAGAGACACAGGGTAACTCAGTGCCTCCCGTCACATGCTTTTATTGGAAACACTCGGGGTTGGGACGGTGGGAGAAAGAGGCTCAGTTGGCGGCAAGAATTTCCTGAACCCAAGGAATGAGCTTGGTGACGCGGGCGTACACGGCGGGGACGGAGGTGGAGCAGGTGCCACTGCCCCAGGACACGATGCCCACCAGGGTCCAGGCTCCGTCCTTCTG